AAACGAAAGCCTGTAATTGTTTTACGTGATGGTAGGATTGCTGGTGTCTTTTTTTCTGTCTCATGAACATACAAGATTTCAGGTACGTCTTGCTACTTCTACTTACACTTAGGTCACACTACACATACATGTACAAGCATATATATACACACCCCTCTGGGTTTTCTTCTATTTTCCTTCTAGTTCTTGTTCCTGTTTATTTCCTCTTACCTCCATGGGGAAGTGGAACAGAATTCTTCCTCCGTAAGCCATGCGTGTTGTAAGAGGCGACTAAAATGCCGGGAGCAAGGGGCTGGTAACCTCTTTTGCTGTATATATTACTAAATGTAAAAGGAGAAACTTGCGTTTTTCCTTTTGGGCCACCCCGCCTCGGTGGGATACGGCCGGTGTGTTGAAAGATATATTTAAGAACACTGCGCTAGCCAAGGATTCGAACCCATGTTGTACTGGCCTGTCTCATGGTAAGCGAGAACCACATGACGCTTACCATGAGGCAGGCCAGTACAACATGGATTCGAAACCTTGGCTAGCGCAGTGTTGTTATTGATCAATACCACTCGTCCGTGGTTACAATAATATGTATATATATATATATATATATATATATATATATATATATATATATATATATATATATATATATATATATATATATATATATATATATATATATATATATATATATATATATATATATATATATATATATATTATCCGAAAACAACTTGTTCGATCGGCTTCAAATTTTCAGTGCTTGTGTAATGTATCTTGGGCCAGATTCATGGGGCAGTTTTCATAAGTGGGTGTCCTTTAGAACTAGCAATTCACTAGTTTTCTTACCGTGTGATAGGTGGAGACAGGTTCCTCTGATCAGCTTCAAGATATACCACTTAGATGATGCTTGGCAAATACAGTGGAGTGTGATGACGCTATTTTGCCACTTTTACTCTCTGATTATAATAATTTAATTTTACCGAAATTCTGGCTTCATACTGGTGAGGGCTCTTGATTTCAAGAGCTGGACGTCTCTTCATTTTACCTGTGTCCAATATAGGTTAAGGACTTTCTTTCTGACTAAAATAAAATCAATGGTTGATGATGAAATCAGTGGAATATTTCATGGGTTTCGCCTGCTTAAGTACAGATTTTGTTGGGTTTTGTGGAGTAACTGGAAAATGCATCTTCCGTTCACCTTTGAACTTTTAGCTGGGATATGTCTAGCTCAATGAAAATAAATTCTTCTTGTTATGTTGTGTCATTTTTATTAATCAAACTGGTTTTTGTTAAATAATTGAAGAATGTCTCCTGATCAGAAATAATTAACGGTGTTTGACTTGATTTGTTTATTCAGTGTTAAATTAACTAAATGTTTATTAATGTGCCTATAGCATCAGTATGTTCCCAAGACTATTGCTAAAAACTGGTGTGTTACGTAACACTGTTAAACTTGGTTTAGAAAGACACGTAAGCAAACACTATAACATATTTATTAGAAAACGTTTCGGTCCTGGGACCTTGATCACTTAGAAGTGATCAAGGTCCCAGGACCGAAACGTTTTCTAATAAATATGTTATAGTGTTTGCTTACGTATCTTTCTAAACCAACTTGTCGGTATTTATTACCAAGGTTTATACCACTTTAAACTTATTTATAAAACTTATTTATTTTCTTTAAAGCTCGGTAATCTTACTGAGAAAAAAGTATGAGTGGTTTTAGTCTGTGTTCCATTTTTTTTTGTGAGGAATCTGGAAAAACTGTGATGCTCTTATTCATGCGATGATGCACAAGTGAATTTATAGTGCATACATGGTTATAAATGACCATAATTTTTACAGGGGTGGACCGGTAAGCCAGCGGAAGGGCTCGGTCAGATGACCAAAGCTCCAAAGGCGGGTCATCATCTGACTAAGACCCGCGTCAGGAAACACTTGTCCTGTTTCCTGACAAACCTTACCTAACCTAACCTGCACAAGTGTCGTATTTAATCAGCTTCAGCCCTTCCATGCTGATTACTTTATAGAGTAACATCTGAGCGGCTTCAAGCTTAATGTGCTTGTGTAGTTTAATACATATGTCTCTGTGCCTGCACTCTGAAGGAGGGGTGTTAATGTTGCAGTTTAAAAACTGTAGTGTAAAGCACCCTTCTGGCAAGACAGTGATGGAGTGAATAATGGTGAAAGTTTTTCTTTTTCGGGCCACCCTGCCTTGGTGGGAATCGGCCAGTGTGATAATAAACAAAAAAAAGTTTCTTTGTCCCACTGAAATATGTGAATTTATTTTTTGGTCTGAGTATGTTATTAGATATAATTTTCATTTTATTCCTTTGCTGTCATCTGTCTAGTTCCCATCTCGTCTAAGCAGGGGTCCAATACTGGAAGCTGTTTTCAACTTATATTTGGCATAAGAGAAGAAGTATTTTGGGTTTCTTTCATTTTCCTTTATAGCTTTTAGTTCTTCCTGTGATTCTTGTCTCTTGTAAGGTTACTTAAGCTTAAGTTCGATGTTTGCTATTTCAATGAGCAGTGCCTC